TCTGTTTTGAACAGTTTGCAATAACACATTTTATTTTGATTTAGTATCAAAATCAACAATGCAGTGTTGAATCCCCTTTCACCTATAAGTGTGCACTTAAAGGCTCGAATAACTTCCACCTTTTTACATCCCAGTTGTGAATATGATGGTTCGGAGATAATCCAATAAAAGGTTCTTGAATCTGCATCAGACACAATCTGGGAAAAATATATTCTACATAATTATTTATACTAGAAGAGGAAAAGGCAGCCATAACAATTTGTTCTACCTTGGCTTGACTTAAACTTGAAGGTATCTCTAAGCCATGTTGAACGTGATAATTTTCTCCTGTTTTTGAGGAGCTTAAATACATTATCTCATGTTTCATTTTCTCATCAGGAGCAAAGTCTGTCATTTTTCTATTTAAATTTATTTATTAAATTGGATTTAGTAGGTCGCCCTTCCCTAAAAACAGGGTTCAGGGTGGCTTACAACGGGATAATATACATATTGTAACATGCTACCCTGATAGCAAAAGTAGTGTTGCTGAACATGCGCATATAATGCCAGCATAGCATCACATTCTGTGATGCTGAATTAGTTGTTAGTATGGCCCAACCCCCTAAGTATTTACATACTGGGCAAAAAGTGCAAAGCAATTTGTAAAGAAATTCAATGGTATGTATTTTTAACAAGTAGAATGGTAACGCTTTAATCAGTATGGCCTTTGTTTGGTCCTACTTACTATCTACTGCAAAGTATTATATAGATTAGACTGTTAACCTAATACTTCATTGAGATTATTTTAATCTTTTTTCATATTTAGTTCTTTATTCTATTTAGGGAAACAGTTGTAAAGAAGAAGCACAAACTACACAAGATGAAACAGAGAAGGAAACGAAAGAGGAACAGAAAAATGAAGGGTGCCGCTGTTAAAATAGTGGAGAAGAAGCCTGACCCTCAAACTCCTAGTGATAAGGACTGGTCACAGAGTGGAGAGGAGGATTCAGAAGACAATAGGAAATCTGCATCTATTGATGAGTCACTAAAGGAGCTCATAGCAGATGGTGAAGTTGATTCTGCCAATGAAAGCAGTCTGAAATGTTCTGAGTTGCAAAAAGGAAGCTTCTGTGTTTCGGGTATGGTGGATCCAATCACTTCAGACAAGTCACTACAAATTGATGTTCTTTCAAGCAATCAATGTCCGTCTTCTACAAGTTTGCCATTTGTTCCAAACAAAAATATAACTGAACTATTGTCCAGTGATTATTTGCCAGACAGAATCCAGAATGAAAATTTGGTGGAAACCAAGAACAGTATTTTGGAGTACAAAAACCAAAGTTCTCCCCCCAAATCAGACTGCACCAATGCAGAAAATAGTCCTGTTTTATCCAGTACAGAAGACAAAGCTGTACATACCAAAACTATTTCTGAATTGGGCCCAGGAAATAAGTTGTTAGGCAACAAGAAGGAAGTATCTGTTTTTCATCAGCATGAGACATCCAGGGAGACAAAGAGAAACACCTGGGCTTTCTTTTCTTTTGACTCGGTTGATGAACAGCCCCATGCCAGTTCTGACAAAAATGAACTGTGTTTGACTTGGCCTGAGTGTTCATCTAATGTCATATATGAGCAAAGGCCAAGGAAAGCAAGGAAGCCCAAACAGGTCTTTTCAGAGAGGACAACAAAATTCAGTGATAAGAAATCTAACAAAGAGCTGGAGAAAGGAGGTGATGGGGCAGTGTTAAATGAAGGAGATAACAGAATAGATTGTTCTGTGCGATCACTACTCTCTGAGATGCCAGGCACCGAAACTAGTAATTTCCCCATTGAAGCTAGTAATTTCCCCACAGAATCTGTAACTAAAGACAGTGTTCCCACTGGTGTGGCTTTGATAGCATTGCCCACAGGAAAAGGAAGATGCAGAAGGATCTTCAACTTGGCCCCAAACTTTGATTTGCCCAGGCAGATTCTGGTTAGGAAGGATGAGAAAGTGCTAAGGGATGCAGATGTATTGATAGAGCAAGAGAAGGTTTCAGATGACAATATCAGAGGCGAGGATAAGCAAAGTCTTGGGTGCCATGGATCTCCGGTACATTCTAGCTATGCTGTAGCAGTAGACTCTCTTTGTCCTGATGCAGAATCTCTGGTGTGTAACTTGGTTCCAACCAAGTTGACAGAATCTATGGACTCTTCAAAGAAAGTAGCTGCTTCTCCAGTTCAGATATGTACTTCTGCTTCCTTAGCCAAGGATGGGCAAGTTGTTACTCCTAATAAAACTGTGGAAATTAATACAGACAGAAAGAGGGAGAAAATGCCACGGGATATTTCAACCACTCAACCTGATATTTTATATTCAGTTAAAGCAACTACTGAGTGTCTTACGAAACCTGTTGCTGAACAGTGTAAAAAAATGCACCAAATCAATACACTTGGAGCAACAAAATGTTCCTCTATTGAAGACGATCAAGGTCTTTTAAGTACTAAATCCAGTTTTCTGAAGCTTCCTTTATCACTAGGGTTTGCACTTCAGCTAGTAAAGCTGTTCGGTTCTCCAGCAGTTCCATTAGGTAATTACTACTTTTTAAAAAATTTAGTGCTTAGTAAAAAAAAAATCAAAAAAATTGAAATGGACAATTCTAATAGATTTGTTGTTAGGTTAAGAATATGCCAAAGGAATGTAGCTGTATTGATTGACAATGTGTCACATCCTCATCTTCAGAGGGACTCTTTCCACATTTCTTGTTTTAGAGTATACATCTGCCAGTAGAATCGTAACCTTGCTTTTTAGTCAAGTGTTGTATCCAAGGAATTTAAAATTCATCTAGTGCTCTGGACTGAGAATTGCAAGAAGAGTATTCACTTGACTTTTAAATATATACACTCTAAAACATATTGAAGACTTGCTGAAGTCTTGATTTTTAGGTTTAATCCTTACAAAATGGCATTTTAAAAATATGGGACCAGACTTCCCTTGACACCCAGAAAATGTTAACATGGGCACCAAATGAACTCACATAAGGAAGTTTCAGATGGGTACCCATGTTGGTCTGCAGTAGAAGAGCAAGACTGAAGTCTAGTAGCAGCTTAAAGACCAACAAGATTTCTAGCATATACGCTTTTGAGAGTACCAGATATCTGACCAAGGGAGCTCTGACTCTAAAAAGCTTGTACACTGTTAATCTTGTTGGTTTTTAAGCTGCTACTGGACTCAAATCCAGCATAAGGAAGTTCAGGTGCCACCACAGAAAGTTCCACTCTCCCATAGCCATCTGCCTAACCATCTGAAGACCTATCAAGCAAAGGTCATAGAACTTAACTGGCAAGCAAACTCACATTGGGGTAAGCGGTACTTTTAGGCAGCCCAGTCCCAGAGAATTTGAGACCTTGTTGGTCAGTGAATACCTCTTTAATTGTGTTCTGAAATGGTCTGGAGAACAGCCAGCTGCAGCTACTAATCTGACTTCTTTGTTCTGGACCACCTGATGTTTCCAAACCATCTTGAAAGGCAGGCACCAAAACTTTCTGTTACAATAACTAAGCCTAGGAGTTAACCAGAACATAGGTAAACGGGCAAAGATCCCTGGTTACCTTCCATCCAAGGGGTTGATCATGTTCACACCTGCTAAGCTTCAGTAGTGCTGCTTCAGATTCTCCCCAAACAATTATTTGGCCTAGCAACTTTGCATCTTCAAGTTTCTTACAGTCTTAAACACTGACTTTCTAAGCCATGTGAAGGAAATTAAGGTATGCATGTGCACATATTGTCAATTGGTCTTCCTTTCTCTAAGCCTGGAGGTCTATAACCAATTACCATTACTAACACAGAAGTACCATCCTTGCCTGAAGTAAACATAGAAATAATTGGCACTAGAGGTCCATGATTCAATTTCCAGTATTAATCTTTTGCTAGTGAAAATATTATTTGAATCCCTGGTACGATATTGAGATGTTCCCTCTGAACATGGAATTTACTTGTAGCAGCAACTTAAAAGACCTTTCCTCCATGAATTTGTCTACTATTTTATTAAGGCCATCTTAACTAGGATCTATATTGAGAATAATGGATTCCGTACATGAACTGGGTTAGAAAGACCAGTGGTATGACTTTGCAAGAGAAAGCTTCACATGTTCATATGTAAAAGTAGATTTTAGTTCACTTGCAATTGTATATAGGAGAGTCCTGCAAAAGCACGCTTTTGTCCTACAGCATTTAACCAGATGTTCCTAGAAAGACCACAAACAGGGCATGACGTCCCTCCCTGCTGTTCTTTTGTCTTTTGTGTTCAAAGATCAAGTTATGGAACTTGACTAATGCAGGTCCCAAGCTACTAGACCCTAATGGGGAGTTCACCATTCCAGTTTTATTATACACAGCACCAGAAATAAGATTTATTTTACCACTGCCACTGCCTAGTCTTCTGGAAACAAGGGCATTTTTTGCCTCTTAAAGGAAACTTCTTCCAATTAAGGACTCCATTCATGGCCACAAACTACCTTGCAGACAGGAGATTCTTCATCTTCTCTTTATATCTTGGTAGAGTTTGGCATGGTCAGAGTTACGTTTTTATTTATTTATTTTAAACATATATTAGCTGTTTTTCTGCCTTATGAAACTCAAGGTGACTTACAACATAGATAAAATACATAAAATAGAATACATAAAATACATTTAAAGTCACCATTCTAAGCGGCCAGTAAATTAATCAACCTGCCTCCTAATGACTGAAAGTGAGGGAGTCAGGCGTACCTCTGGAGGGAGCTTGTTCCATAATTGTGGGGCTGCCACTGAAAAGTCCTTCTCTAGTGTACCCAACAGCTTCTTTGATTAATGGGACAGTAAGGAGAATCTCTCCCTGTGATCTTAATTCCCAGGCAGGAATATAGGGGAGAAGATAGCCCCAAGTCATGTAGGGCTTTAAAGGACAAAACCAACACCTTGAATTGGGCTCAGACGTGGATCAGTAGCCAGTGTAATTGCTGTCGTATCGGGGTCACATGCTCCCAATAACTGACCCTAGCCAGCAGTCTAGCTGCAGCTTCCAAACACCCTTCAGTGGTAGCCTGGAGTAGAGCACATTGCAGTAGTCCAGTCTAGATGTAACTAAGGCATGGATCACTGGCTGAACCATGAACAGACACAGTTGATGCACAAGTCAAACTGGGTAAAAACACTCTGAACCAGCAGAGCTACCTGGTTTTCTAAGGTGACTGCTGTGTCAAGTAGCCCTCCCAAATTGAAAACCTGGCTTTTCAAGGGGTATATAACCCCATCCCAAGACAGGAGAGGTCTCAAGTCTCTGATCTGCCTTTCTGCTAACCGAGAGAACGTCTGTCGTGTCAGAATTAAGTTTCAGCTTGTTCACTCTCATCCATTACTGACTCAAGCACTGGTTCAGGACATCAACATTAAGTGGGAAGGAAAGGTACAGCTGGGCATCATGCATCTATTTTTTTAATGTGAATGTATCATAACACCAATTTTATGAAAGGAATAAAAATTAACTTGTATTTGCAGTCCTTGACTATAAAAAGGGAGAGCATATAATTGAACCAAAAATGTCAAACTTAGGGAATGGGAAAATAAAGTAGGCAATAAATGCATTCCTTTCCCCCTAGTGACATTGATCACATATAGATGGTAGATTGCTGTCCACTGTCTGTTCTTTACGATAAATTGATTGAATGACCAGCTTATGTATGTTTCTTGTTTTATAGACACTTTGCTACCAGATGATTATGTTGTTCCCCTTGATTGGACAATATCAAAGGAGATCTATTTACGGTGGAAGGCTTCTGTGGAGGTAGGAATATTAGTTTCCCACTATCCTTGCCTTGAAGAATGCATTTATTTATTCCCCGCTTTTCTCCTTGATGGGTACACAACAATCCTCCCTTCCATTTTATCCTCACAACAACCACCCTATGCTAATCTGAGAGAATGACTGGCCAAGGTCACCCAGTAGCAGAGTGGACATTGGAGCCTGTATCTCCTATACCCTAGTCCAGCAGTCTAACTACTACACCATGCTGGTACTATTCAGTGCTAGCAGCTATGCATTAATTGCACAAAATTAGAACAGGTATTCAAAGAATATGCCCTTCGAGCCTTCTGACAGGAACTGGGCTAACCTCTCGGTAGGCTATATCTTGCTAAGGAATCTGAAGTTTTCTGTGGTTGGAAGAAGTGGAGGACAACATTGTTTTCCCCTTTATTTTAGAAAAATCAGAAAAAGAATCGATCCAAAGGATACGATGCCTTGCCTGGTGAGTACAATGTTGTATTTCCTAAATTCAGCTAAATTATCACCAGCTGCAAGCCTTGGTTCAAATGGAGTGCTTTGCATACCAATGTCTGGGTTTTTGCATCAGCTGATCTGACTGAAATGTAACGATAGTATTTTATTTTGGCTGCTTGTTCATTGTGGGGTACCTCTTGGCTGGCTGATTAATTTTGAAACATGCCACTGTTTCTCAGTTTTAGATGGCGGCCATTTATTCTTAGGCAACAAATAATCAGTCTGTTCAAAGGTGTTGGTAGGAAGAGGAATGTTCCCCGCTGCTTCTTCATTGTATCTTGCACATGTTGCATTACTTTGAGTCTGTCCTTAATCTTAGGCACTCATTGATCATAGACAGCTGCTACCAGCTTGGGTCCCAGAGACTCTGGTGTCAAAATGCTATGAATCCCCTTCCTTGCTGTTCCTCCCAGGCCACTGTTTATATCCTCAACCCACTTCCAAATATGTATTCCTGCAAACTATTCTGGAAGGCTTCCCCCCCACTTGAGTATCCATAAATATATTAGGTTAGAGAACCACCATTTGGAAACCATTTATTTTTAGCTGAGTAAGAGTATGAGGTGTGGGGCAGGTTTTGGATGTTGGATGATGGTGTCTGCTGAGATGTGGCAGCAGTCTGCAGACAGCCAGGATTGCAGGTGTCTGCTGAGATGTGGCAGCAGTCTGGAGGCAGCCAGGATTGCATGCAGATGCAGGTGGATCATGGGAGTTGGGTACTACCAGCAGTGCTCTCCTGTTCCTTGTAGAGGAGAATCCTTACTACCACTCAGAGCTAAGCCTCTGTGTTCGGTTGCTTATGTGGTCTCTTTGTTTGCAGCTGGTGGAGCTGCCCTGGAAGATTCAAAGGAGGTTGATGGTCAAGAGAAACAAGAATCTTCTGATGCAAACCCACAAATGCACTTGTTCCAGTAGACTTGGAAAAGCATCATCGCTCTAACGAATTGTTTTATAGATACAATGTTCGAGTAACAAAGGTGGTTCATCTGAACTTTTGCCTAAAAATAAACAGCATTTTGTGCAGAAAGGTAACAACTCTAAAAATTGAATCTCATTTTTTTTACTTGGCAGGTTACCTTTATTCTTATTATTGTGTCCACAGGTCAACTGACTTTTCATTCTCTAAACACTGATCTTTCCTGCATTTGTACACTCCGGGCTCAATAAACAGAAGATAACAGCTTGCTCTTTGCTCCCCCGCGCGTTTAGAACCTTTAGCCTGGGATGAGAAATGAATTGGGTCTGGCAAGCAATGAAGGATGCAGTTTGCTTTCTCCTCTTATTTGCTGCCATCTATCCTTGTCCATTTCAAGTTAGATTTATTGTAGAAAAGCCTATCCCAAAAGAGTGAAACGTGCATCTTTCAACATATGAAGATTAGTTTCATTGTTTAATATAGAGAGGTTGGTGAAACGTGCATCTTTCAACATATGAAGCAGATTAGTTTCATTGTTTAATATGGAGGGGTCGACTGAAGCAGCAGAACACTCTGTATTTCTGAAAAGCCAAAGTGTTTAAATTGTTCAGTTCCTTTTCAGGAGGTGAAATGTTTCTGGCAAGTTATACCCATTATAGTCCCTGTGCCAGCTATATGGCTGCCCAGTGATGAAAAGAGAAATGTTGTACAGACAACCAGCATTTGTCAGATGGGCTTGGGCTGATCATAAACAAAAGTCACTCTGTCACCTGAAAGATCATTCTTTAGCAGTCCCACAAAGAACAGGAGGGAGCAACTTGAAGTGAGGTTACTGTTCTTTTTGATGCTTCACCAGATTTTTTTTTTTTTAATTCACAGAACTTGCTCAATTTAGGCTTCACCATGGATGGACCACCAGGTAACAGCCAGCTGTGTTGCTGAGAAGCGCACGATACAAAGTTTGTTGAATGATCAACAACCGTAGTTTTTGCCTTCCATCCATGTAAGCCCATTGACTTTTTGTTTGAAATAAAATCAAATTTTAAAGAGCATGCTTTGGTCTTTGCCACTTTGTAACGCAATGTGAAGTTACCTCAGCCACTTGCTGTATGACACAAAGTCGATGATCAGTATTGTAGCATGTGACTAAAGTCGATTAATGTAACTTAATTAAAATGCAGATATAACAATACAAGAACTGCAGACATGTAAACAGAGCTCTGCAGCCTGATCTCAGACATGTTCATTCCGAAGTAACTATGTTTACCTCCAGGTAAGTGTGCACAGTATTTTTTAAAAATGCAATAAAAACATAATAATACAATAAATAGTGAATAAAATTGGATTGCAAAATTAGAAAATAGTAAAGACTATATAATACCATAAAACAATGCAATAAAACTTCCAAAAACATTTAAACTATAACTCTATGAGCAGGGGGACCCACATGAATTTGTGGGGAGTATCTAATTTCCCCCTCCCCCATTATTTCCTCCCCTGGCAGCCCCCATAGCCTCTCCTCTTTTCCTGCTTCCTTCTCTCCTTCCCACCCACCAGCAAACCTACTTTATTTGCCCCCTCATCTTCAGCATTCCATCTTCTCCCCAGGAAAACTAGACAAGTTGCACAATCCTGGATAAGCCTGGCCAGTTGGATGGTGGAGAACCTGTCAAAACTAGCAAGGGGTTTTCCCCTGTATCCCCTCCCCAAACTATTTACTATTTCCCTCTTCTTGACAGCTTCCATATCCCCACCTTTCCCTGCTCCCTTCTCTCCTTCCCACTCAGCAAATGATTTTTTATCCACCCCCTATCTTCAGCTATATTTATTTACTTCATTTATATCCCACATTTCTCCACAACGGGGACTCAAACCAATTTACAACATTCTCCTCTCCTCCATTTTTTATGCTAACAACCCCATGAGGTAAGTTAGGCTGAGAATGTCTGACTGGGCCAAAGTCACCCAATGAGCTTCCACAGTAGAATTGGGATTTTAACCTGGGTCTCTCAGAACCTATTCCAAAACCATAACCACTACACTAGCTTTCATGAGGTAGCTGCTGTTGAACAGTAGCAAGCAGCCAGACCAAGTGGTAGCAAGTTGCCAGGTGGTTGCTGCCATTCTTGACCCGAAAGGCCAAAGCAGTCCTGGAAGGGCAATGCCGTTTTGTGGCGGAAACAAGGCTTGAATACTGTTGTGGTTACCTAGAAATGGCCACTGAGGACATCTGTTTGTTAAACCTCTACAGGCACTCCTTTTATCATTTTAGGAGGCTTTAAGCAGCCCATGTATGTTTTTTTAGATTTCAGGTTTTCTTGTAAACCTGGGGCACTTATTAGGTCTGTAGAAAGATCCACCTTGTCTATTCATGGCCTGCCTCTGGATTTTAGTATCTGCAGATATGGCCATATTGAGAACTAGATTATATTGATTGATGATTCCCTTTATAAAATACCCCCCTGGACAATTCCACTTTGCACATTCTGTATTGTAGGATTGGATTACAGGAGCAAAGTACATATTTCACAAAAATATTTATTTATTTATATTTATACCCCACCCTCCCCGCGAGCGGGCTCAGGGCGGCTTACAACAAGGCACAAAGTGCATACAGTATAAAAAATAAATACATACAATAAATACATACATACAATATGCATACAATAAATACAATGAAGCCCTACCTTTTAATGGGAAGCTGCCATTTTTCGTAGAGAAGGTGGGGGAGTATGTGTGTACGCATGCATGTGGAACTGCAATGTGTATGATCCTCAGCAGAAAAAAGCCGCTTCACAGTTAAATGTGCACACACATTTATTCCATATTTATGTATGTAGATATTTATAATATGCTGCTCTTATTCCCAATGGAGATCCAAGGCAGTTCTCTCCTCTTCAGTTAATGGTTACAGCAACAACCCTGTGAGGCTGGTCATGCTGAGAGACCGAGTGGCCCAAGACCACCCAGCAGAGTTTCCATGGCAGAATGCGGATTTGAACCTGTCTCACCCAGATTCTTGTCTGTCACTGTAACCACTATACTATGTGGAATTATTCCAGAATAACAGAACAAAAAAAATCATTATTGTTGGCCTATAAAGGGGCCATCCGATTTTCCTCCTGGAGTTATGAACAAAGCCACAAACTGATTTCAGCTACTGCTAGCTGTTCCATAACACAGCTGCTCCAGCTCAATGGAGGCTACCTAGGCAGAAAGAAGTTTGAGTAAATCAGTAGGTTTGAGCAACTTGTCCATTTGGAAAGTCAGTCTGTAGAGCTGCAGATCTTCTGTAGAGCTGAGCAGCAGGTGTAGTAGCAGCCTAGACTGCTGTCCTAAAGTGCCTGCTTATTGCCGCAATCTTATTCTCATTTATTTGTAAATCTCACTGAACTCAGGATTCCCATGATATTTTAATTTAGTATATTTTAATCCCACCTGTCCACCTTCGAGCTCAGGGCAATACATGATGTTGTTCCCTTTCCTGCATTTAATCCTGACAACAACCTTGAAAGGTTGGTGGAGCTGAGAATGTGTGTGGCTGGCAGAAGGTCGCCTGTTCGTTTTGTTTACCTTTCTCGCTGAGTCTCAAGGCTGATCCCACAAAAAGCAATGCAACTGTGTAATATGTATACACACAACACCAATATGACAAACAAACCTGGATTGCAAAACTAAGAGAACATTCTAAAAATTGTTTAATGCATACAACAAACCACAGTAAAGCTGGATCACGAGCAGAGAGAACAGTGTAACCCAACAGTATAATGTACAGTTAACAAACTGATGAGAAGAGAGAGGGGCCTGTCCCATACCTGTTGTTAAATGCAGCCGGGTGGAGTATGAGCAAAGACCTACGAATGCCTATTTATTTTTATTTAAACATATCTCATCTTTCTTCGCGTTTCAAGGAAGTTTACAGTAATAGTTAAAAACGTTTTCAGTTACCACCAAAAATAAAATTGTTGTTGTTCAGTCGCCTCTCCCCCAAAAGCTCTGGCAAATAGGCAGGCTTTGCAGCGTCTCCTACACCCAGCCCAGGTGACCAAACGTATCCTCAACGACACGCTCAAGTTTCAGGGGCTCTTTCCTATGCAACAGAAACACGCTCAGTCCTTCTGGCGTTCCTCTTCCCCGAAGTTGAAGCCTGTAATCGCCTGAACTTCCACGCCCTCAGCCAGGC